TCTCATACGAATTTATTAGTCTGTTCTGGACTTTTGGTATTATATAAAACAAATAATGAATGTTTCTTCGTGCAATGGTAAGAATATTTTCATTCGGTGAAAGATGGAATGTTCCATTCAACTCGGCTGTCGCCTCGTTGAATGGAACATTCCATCTTTCACCTCATGAAAATATTCTTACCATTGCACTCATAAACATTCATTATTTGTATAATAATTCATAATTTATCCTATTCCAATACAAAATGCAATAAATATAGAACACACAATTTATCAAATAAAGGTAAAAAAGGTATTAAAATCTTTATTATGTAATATTTACATTGAATATCGTGGTTGAAGTTGTAGATTTATACTTGAAATTTCAATTTTCGAACGAGAAATGTTTCGCTTTATTATGTTAAAGGGGAAGTCAAGTCCGTAATGTAAACAAACGGTTTGTTTACATTTTGAACTGCTGTATTTTTTAAAATATGATGTACTGTCTGAATATCTAACACCATTTTGGTTCGTTATGCTTCTACATGAATATGAAATAGAGTTTGTGTTCAGAAAAATTCGAAACTTTCAAAATTTGGGCAATGTTTACCTCAGAGGGCCCTCTATTGTTATGCGCAGAACCGATGCGCAGAACGGACTTGACTTCCCCTTTAATTAAATTTTTTACTTTGTTCGCCATTCTTGCTTATTTACAAATACAAATAGTCCATTTCTTCTTTTGCTCTTTTCAAAATAGCCCAGAATTTGGTTCAAAAAAAGTATTTTCATGCAAAAACCAGCATTTAACTTTTGTATACACTCTTGGGATAGCAGACATGTTGCCAAAATATCACCCGGTTAATGAATAACTTCCGGTACTTTCATTGTATTCGCATTGACCAATCAAATCACGTCCTGAGTTGGATTATCCCAGGGCTTCTGAAAGCAATAAGCGCAGAAGCCCTGGGTACGAGGTTGATTTCAGCGTAAAATCATTATATTTTGCAACATTGCCGAGCATGCGCAGAACTCACGTTGGAAATTCAACGTGAATCAATTCGATTTCTCCAGAGCTATGCCCACCCCAACCTCGTACCCAGGGCTTCTGCGCTTAGCAATAAGCGCAGAAGCCCTGGGTACGAGGTTGTGCCCACCCTTAACCTGCGAAGGGCATGCTCGGGGAACGAGATTGATTACTACGATAAAAGGTATTTTCTGGCCTGCCTCCTCCGCAGGCCCTTACTATTTGTAGATCAGTATATATATAGACATATCAGTTTAATATATAGATCAGTGGCTGAACAAATCTGTTGTGATCTGGGGACGAGGCAGTTTTCTGGCTTTGTACGAAGATATTTAGCAACACCTGGCATTCTTTCAAGATTATGAACTTATGTGTACATTATTTCATCTTTATGGCGTGTAATAAAGGACGAAACAAACTTCAATTTTATATTTTAAAGACAGAATAAATTAATAATGGACATTGTAGTCCAATGGATCGTATCGGATAAGCCAAAAACTATCAAATACTGATATTAAATATGTAAAATACATATTTAAACAATAGTAATTAATACCATATAGTAATTAGTACCACATTAGCTTTCTTTTCGTGTAAAACTACACAAATTCATCATCATGATGACATCATTCCGAAGTTGATGAGTGGACTGGGGACGAATGTTAAAAAGTGCCCAAATGAAGAAATGAACCAAATCACCAAAAAGACCACCTCAAAATTAGTAAGTATACTAGAAAATACATGCATGCAGATATACCCTCGCCTTGCTGACAAGACCATTGTATTTTCCGAACATGAAGTATCTAAAGTAGTTGTCATGGTAACACGATAATTATGTATATATATATATATATATATATATATATATATATATATATATATATATATATATATATATATATATATATATATATATATATATATATAAATATATATATATATATATATATATATATATATTTATATATATAGCTTAAGGTTTTGGTTTACGAAACACAAACAGTGCTCAATACCATATAGATAGAGCGTAATATAGTTTTTCGTTTTACCTCAAATAACCACAACAGTCTGTTTCATCCGTATAGGAATCATCAGGTGGTGAATAATTTCGAAATTGTAGGTTGCTTTTATGCTATCGAAAGAATGTGCGGAATGTGTGTAGGCGAAACAATGCTTAGGTGAAACAATGCATGCTTGGGTCATTAGGTTTTGTTAACGACCTTGTTTACTCGAAACCGGTTTTTGTGACGACATTTGCCGAAAATTTCGCTTCTTTTATTGAGTAAATTGTCTTTGTTTATGTCTTTCAAAATGCAAAATTTTTCTTCCAAACATAAATTGCAGCGTTTTGATCCCCCTGTGTACGAAATAGCGTGTTTTAAAATTGACCATTTGATGGTATAATCCTGATTGTTTTCTTTTAATTTCCAAATATGTTTCGAAAGTTCCGTTTTGTTTGAGTCTTTTTTATGACGAAAAGATGAAGTGTGGTTAGCGTAACGTTCCTTAAATGTAGTCGCTGTCATACCAATGTAGTGTTTAGTGTCGTTCATATTGTTCGTTGTGACTGTGGCTTTGTAAATAATGTTGTTGGTCATACATTGTTTCGGTAGTGGGCAAGTGTTCTTGTTGTCGCAGTTACAGTTGTCAGTTTCCGTATTCTGTGATTGACTGTTCCTAATTATATGTGCGTTGTGTTTGGTGATTATAGACTTAACGTTGTTCATGCAACTGTAGCTTATTTTTAAAGTGTTTCTGTTAAAAATCTTGTGTAGTTTGTGCTGTAGTGGGAAGTGTCTGTCAATTAAACTTAAGAATTCCCGTCCTATGTTCGTGTTAACACTCTTACTAAATGGTGGGTTGAACCAAATTATGTTGCGTTGCCTATTCCTACGTGTCCGTTGCGGTGCATCCTGAGTGTATGTAAATTCATGATCAAAGTTACTATGTCTGAGAGCGTTCTGGTAAATAGGTGTAGATTCCTTAAATGTTTGTTCGTCTGATGAGAGAAGTGCAATGCGTTTGTTGATAGCTGTAGGTAATTGTCTTGTAATGCTTGGTGGATGGTTGGAGTGTCTGTTGATGTATAATGGATCGTCATTGGGTTTCCTGTATGGTTTGTGTTTTGCGTTGATCAGGTCGAAAGTAACATCTAAAAAATTTTACAACGTTCATATTTACTTCGGCGGTGATTTTCAGGTCAAATTGCTCGAAAATTTTGTGTAGCTCTTTTCTAGTTTTGTCTAGTAAACGGGCGGATTTGCTTTTTATAATAGCCAAACCATCATCTCTATAAAGGCCGATGTTTTCCTTGCCAAACCTCTTACCTAAGTGATTTAAAATGAAAAGGCCTACCAGCTCACAAATTTCAGCGCCGTCGAAACTACCCATAGTGACGTCAAATAAACTGTTGCTACCATCTTTTTTTGTCCATAATTTGCCGTTGCCGAAAAGTAGAGATTTTCTTGCGTGTTTTATTATTGAAATATCGTTTTCGGCAATAGTAGTCAATTCAGAAGCCCAGGCCAATGCTTCATTTAAAAGTTTTTCGGAAATGGATGGGTAAAAATCCACAATATCAAATGAAATAAAACTGTGCCTGTCTTTATCGTTTATATTGCCAAACCATGAAATTACTTGTTGTGTATTTCTCCATTGATTTGAATTTAGTTTTTGTCTCAAATTGCAATTGATTTTATCTAAAATAACCTTACTTAGTTTTCCGGATTCGCTTTTTGCGGGATTAATTAGTCGGCATTTTGGATTGTTTTCGAAATTTTCTTTGTGATCTTTTAAAGATATAAATGCTTCGCGTTTTTTCATTCGTTCAATTCTGTCGCCAATTCCTAACCTACTCGAAATTTCTTTCAATTCGGAGTCAATTTCATGTATGAAGTCCTCTGATCCATGTTTGTACGTTTTCGTGATGTTGTCATGTAAGAGTTCGTTGTATGTGTTCAGTGACGTTTCGTAAATGTTTCTAATTTTGTCCGCGAAAATGAAAATGTTGGGGGATGAATTAATTTTCTTCAAATCGTTAGCCAAAGATGTCTGAAATTGGTCTTTAGGACGCCGGAATTTTACGTTTTCAATTAGTTTTATCAAGTCGTCTTCGAAAGGTTTCAAAAGTGGAATTGAAGGAGGCGATTTGTTAGACGAAAGGCCGAAAAGGTTGCTTTGGTTTTGAGTCGTTGATCCTTTTAGGAAGAAATTAGCTTTCCATCTCATACGTTTTGTTACGCTTTCCACTTTTTCAATCAAATTCTTTAAGTAAGCATCCTGTGATGGTATCGGAATATTCTTTAGTGAATAATCAAATCGAAATTGTCGCATGTTTGAAGTAGAAATAAAATGAATAACGTAGACAAGAGTGCACACCCGATTACCAGGTGCGAATATAGCTTAAGGTTTTGGTTTACGAAACACAAACAGTGCTCAATACCATATAGATAGAGCGTAATATAGTTTTTCGTTTTACCTCAAATAACCACAACAGTCTGTTTCATCCGTATAGGAATCATCAGGTGGTGAATAATTTCGAAATTGTAGGTTGCTTTTATGCTATCGAAAGAATGTGCGGAATGCGTGTAGGCGAAACAATGCTTAGGTGAAACAATGCATGCTTGGGTCATTAGGTTTTGTTAACGACCTTCTTTACTCGAAACCGGTTTTTGTGACGACATTTGCCGAAAATTTCGCTTCTTTTATTGAGTAAATTGTCTTATATATAATCTATACGCTATATAATCTATATTTACTAAAACTGGACAATGCCAATGTCAAAATTAAATGTTTAACAAATTAAGTTTAATTACGTAAACTGTAAAACTTAAACACCTATTTAATTTGTTCCTTCCTTCTCGCATTTGCATTGGCGAATCGGTGGATCAGCTCGTTCTTGTCAACAACTTTCGCTTCTTTATTTTCGATGGAAAGTATCGCCAAACCTGAAAGCCTTTCTTGGGATATTTTAGACCTGAGATATGTCTTTATCAGCTTAGTAATGCATAGCCAGTATTTTAAAATCACAATCTGTTATGTTTTCCTTAAAATGACCACGGTCGGTTGGGAACTTTCTTGTCGTATCAAACACCAGATCTTTATTTTTATCCAACTTTTCTTCTGAAGTAGAACTGGAAAGTTTCAAGGGAGTGAAGTTTTCGTCCTTGTCACCAGTAACACTATGATTGGACTCAGGGCAAATAGAGGAATTTAAATCTTTTTCGGCGTTGTCAAAAAAGGAATCGTCTTTGACTTCAGCGATGCTACTGCTACTGCTAGTAGACGTGGGTTCTTCATTATTGTCGACATTATCTTTCATTTGAAGAAATGTTGATATGCAACTTGTATTTGATAAAGAACTCTCCGTTTTCTTCTTTTTTTCGGCTCTCTTTTGTGCCCCAGATTTGTACTTTCGCCTTCCAGCCATCATGGCCGACATTTTGATTTGCATTTTTAATTTGGACGTACTTCATGTAATAACTACAGTCGTGCCAATAGAAGTGTTCCGAAAAATGTTGACCAGTTCATTTCCTAACTTCGAGGAGTTCCTCTGAACAATTCGTCAACAATTTGATAATTTCCTTAAAAAGTTTCTAACTTCCTGTTTCATTGACCAATCCGATTGCTCAAAAATAAAATATAAAATTTGATTGGTCAATGAAACAGGAAGTTAGGAACTTTTTAAGGAACTTATCAAATTGTCGAGGAACCGTTCAGAGGTGTTCCTTCAAGTTAGGAAATGAACTGGTCAACATTTTTCGGAACACTTCTATTGGCACGACTGTAATAAGAATAACTTTTGTTTTATTTGAGATAAAATAAAATGTCAGTTGCCACTGCCGATGTTTATTGCCACTGTCGATGTTTATTTATTGTAATATCGTATAATCGCATTAATCTAAATCATGACCGTATTAATCTAAATTTGGTGGGGGCCCCTCGGGGCCCCCTAACAGTCGGGGGCCCTTAGTTATTGCCCTAACCCTACCCTATGTGCGTTACGCCACTGTACCGTGCACACAATACTGTGCTCAGTATACGCGCGACGATAATTTCCGCTCGTCAGAAAACCAAGTGAAATTCTATTGTCAGCTGGGAGGTATGAACGCAATAAAATGTTTTCTACATATAATTGATTATAGAAGTTTACTATGGAATGAAGCGGAATTTTATGCTGAATTGAATGGACATCTCCGATTTTCCATCTACCGCGCACACAAATTTCTGCGAAAGGATAAGTGTTTCCTGAAAATTCTATTACATACGAAGTGAATTGTTGAGATATTGAAGGGCGAATATCTTCGGCCAGTTTTTGTATGAAGAAGGGAAACTAAAGCGTTTTAGATAGAATTTGTATTAGAATAGAATGGTAGTTCCAGATTTTCCATCTACCGTGCACACAAAACTGTGCTCAGTATACGCGCGACGATAATTTCCGCTTGTCAGAAAACTAAGTGAAATTCTATTGTCAGCTGGGAGGTATGAACGCGATAAAATGTTTTCTACATATAATTGATTATAGAAGTTTACTATGGAATGAAGCGGAATTTTATGCTGAATTGAATGGACATCTCCGATTTTCCATCTACCGCGCACACAAATTTCTGCGAAAGGATAAGTGTTTCCTGAAAATTCTATTACATACGAAGTGAATTGTTGAGATATTGAAGGGCGAATATCTTCGGCCAGTTTTTCGATGAAGAATAGAAACTAAAGCGTTTTAGATAGAATTTACGTTAGAATAGAATGGTCGTTTCAGATTTTCCATCTACCGTGCACACAAAACTGTGCCCAGTATACGCGCGACGATAATTTTCGCTTGTCAGAAAACTAAGTGAAATTCTATTGTCAGCTGGGAGGTATGAACGCGATAAAATGTTTTCTACATATAATTGATTATAGACGTTTACTATAGAATGAAGCGGAATTTTATGCTGAATTGAATGGACATCTCCGATTTTCCATCTACCGTGCACACAAATTTCTGCGAAAGGATAAGTGTTTCCTGAAAATTCTATTACATACGAAGTGAATTGTTGAGATATTGAAGGGCGAATATCTTCGGCCAGTTTTCGTATGAAGAGGGGAAACTAAAGCGTTTTAGATATACTTTATATTAGAAAGGAATTTCCATCTACCGTGCACACAAATCCGTGCTCACTACACGGAAGGAAATTTGCGTGCCAGAGACTAAGTGTCGATTAGTGCATACAAATTACTAAGAAAAATGTCGGCACGCGAAATGTTGATATTTTGTGTTTCCGGCCCGTTAATTGTTCTTGATATTAGTCTAGGACCTGTATATGAGTTTGTATGCATTTCATTTAGCACAGGTAATCTCAACTGTTTTAGGGTAAAATGACCATGGCGGTCAACATGGCATATGTGCCAAAAGCTGAATCCGGGACGAAAGTCCTGAAAATGACCCCGCCCTGAAACGGCAGTGTCGACATAGCTCTAACTTCAGAAAACAAAAAGCGATAGTCTTTCTGAAGTGCTTATAGTGTTTAGAAGGGTTGCTTTTAGGGGTGGTCATTGGAAGAAAAATTTGTCTAAGTATAATATTTTACAAGAAAATGACCATGCACCACCCCAGGCAAATTGCTGATTATGCATAAAATAACTAATATGCCTGGCAGAAATTAAATATTCTTATTTCCTAAAAAAAATTATCATGGGGTTAAAAACTATGCTTAATTTAATATAAATATTGTTGATTTCATAAGGATTGTCATTGTTTTCTTTAAATATAATACATTTTATTTCACTTACCCCCCACGAAAACGCGATTTCAGCCATATTTTGCCGTCTTGTTTCCTTTTTATCGCCGAATCACGCAAATATCATCCAGTTATTGTACTTTTACAGAATCATAAATGGCTGAAGAAGATTTCAAAGAAGGTTTCATCCACTTTTGAAACAGTGCAGTGTATTTTATCTTCGATAATGTGTCCTTCGATATCTCGTCAAATTGCCGCCATTTTAATGGCTCGCCGCTTCTCTGCCCGATAAATGCCACTTCTTCGTTTTCATATGTATTTAGATTACATTATCCAAGAGTACTTCATTGTAGAATAGTCCCAATCCAAAAATTGGAAATATTATTTGTACTTGGGAGGAAAAAACCTCCCAGTACAATTGTCCTGTTAGAATTCAAAAGAAATAATTTAAAAGTCACGCGCAAGTTCGCGAAAACACCTCGTGGGTTACATAACAGGGGGGAGTGAATATTTTCACGAAACGTTTGTTCGCCACCACAGGCCACAGCAACCTAACTAAGTACATTATATTTATTGTATATTTGTGATTTGTGATAAAAGCAATAAATACTTGCGTATCAATTATAAAAATACAAAAAATATAATACATTTAGTTAGGTTGCTGTGGACTGTGGTGGCGAACAAACGTTTCGTGAAAATATTCACTCCCCCCTGTTATGTAACCCACGAGGTGTTTTCGCGAACTTGCGCGTAACGTTTAAATTATTTCTTTTGAATTCAAACAGGACAACTATTATGGGAGGTTTTTTCCTCCCAAGTACCAATAATATTTTCAATTTTTGGATTGGTACTATTCTACAAGGAAGTACTCTTGGATAATGTAATCTAAATACATATGAAAACGAAGAAGGCCAATTTATCGGTTATGTTACAAAAGTGGATGAAACCTTCTTTGAAATCTTCTTCAGCCATTTATGATTATGTAAAAGTACAATAACTGGATGATATTTGCGAGATTCGGCGATAAAAAGCAAACAAGACGGCAAAATATGGCTGAAATCGTGTTTTCGTGGGGGTAAGTGAAATAAAATGTATTATATTTAAAGAAAACAATGACAATCCTTATGAAATCAACAATATTTATATTAAATTAAGCATAGCTTTTAACCCCATGATAATTTTTTTTAGGAAATAAGAATATTTAATTTCTGCCTGGCATATTAGTTATTTTGTGCATAATCAGCAATTTACCTGGGGTGGTACATAGTCATTTTCTGGTAAAATATTATACTTAGACAAATTTTTCCTTCAATGACCACTCCTAAAAGCAACCCTTCTAAACACTATAAGCACTTCAGAAAGGCTATCGCTTTTCCTTTTTGGAAGTTAGAGCTATGTCGACACTGCCGTTTCAGGGCGGGGTCACTTTCAGGACTTTCGTCCCGGATTCAGGTTTTGGCACATATGCCATGTTGATCGCCATGGTCATTTTACCCTAAAACAGTTGAGATTACCTGTCCTAAATGAATTGCATACAAACTCATATACAGGTCCTAGACTATTTGTAATCTAAAATGACTGAAAATTGCAAATTTCGCAAGGCTAAATTATCCGCATTTTAAAACATTTCGCAACGAAACTTTGGAATATTACTAATTTTGTGATGCTCTTTCAAGCTGTGATGAAATATTTGTCTAGACTTGTTGAGTTCAAAATTTTGGTTAATTGGGGAATGGTCCATTATAAGTTGTCAATTTCCGTCCGATAGTTTGTTGTATTTTATATATTTGTCAGCATTGTTCGCTGAGTGTCCAAACACTAGAATTTTATCTTGATTTTCTTAAACTTCGATACAGCACAAAATTAAACTGAACAGATTATATTTCTAGTTTTTCAAACCTTTGTATGCCCCGAAGGAAATCTTGATTCTTGATCTGGAATTTTAAAATTTTTGTGTTGTTATTTTGGACGCATGCTAATTATAAATTAACCAATGAAATAGCTTCATTTGTCATAAATTATTCAAATTAAGCACTGTCCAATCAGAGGCCGGTCCCCAAATCTGGGAACTATCCACGTGACCTGAACAAGGATTATGCATCCAACTCAGAGACGTTCTCTCGCGCGTTTCGTCGAGAGTAACGGCTGTACACAGGCTAATATATTTTGGCCGAATTTTGTCATTCCCTCAAGGATTTTAGAGCGAATTTAAGCTCTTTGATTAAAGCATTGTTGTTTTGAGAGTTATACGGTATTATTCTTGCAGGGGATATCGATTAATCGTGAAAGATATGCATTAAAGGCGAAAAATCGAGGATAGTTTCGTGTGCATGATATATGCCAAGTCTGGGCTATTTTGAACTCAATCTTTCCTTCCTTCCCTCGTTTTATAAGGAAGGCACAGGCGGGCGCGGGCAAATAGAGCCTGGGCCTACTGTGATAAGGCTGCATTGACAATAAATTATGATAGTTAATAACAAAAAACTATCGTAACGAGGGACAGATGTGGCATATATAGATTATTACATTGTACAAGATTTCATGATCGTCACATTTTTTCACATATCTTGTCAATCATTAAAATTTTATGGTGCAGCATTGTACCTATAAAGTATGTTTTAATATGGTTTCAATATGCTTTTATAACGCATGTACCCGAGCTTGTCTTAAATTAACGAAGATCTTTTTATTATTATTTACACTGTCTGAGTAAAATCACTACATGTTACACCATATTACACCACATGTTACAGTACATGTTACAGTACATGTTACACTAAAAGTTTTATATTTTATTATATGTCATTACAAGTTACAACATGTTGCACCTACCTTTAAAAAAATCTATAATTCCTTTTAAAAATATAGGTGTAACATGTAGTAACATGTCAAGAACTATAGTAAAATATAGTAATTTTAGCGGTGTAACATGTACAATCTTGGAAAAAATATCGGTTAGATGGAAAACACGGAGTCGGAGTTCCGGAGTCGGAGCCCCGGAGTCGGAGTCCCGGAGTCGGAGTCCCGGAGTCTGACGTCATAAAAATATGGAAAACACGGAGTCATATGGAAAACACGGAGTCTGACGTCAGAGAAAAATATGGAAAACACGGAGTCATATGGAAAACACGGAGTCTGACGTCATAAAAATATGGAAAACACGGAGTCATATGGAAAACACGGAGTCTGACGTATTGTCAGCGTGAAATATGGAAAATAGTAATTAAATAATATATAATTTATGCGAATATAAACAAACGGACGAATTTATAATATATAAACGAATTGGAAATTTTCTGCACTAATTCTGGTATTTCTCTAAAATGTCGTGAAAATATGGATTATTTATTTTTATACAATCAAGCAAATAATATTGTTTCTCTTGTCGTGTGACTTGTTCAGTTGTACAATATTTGAAGTGATTTTAATGCGGATTTTGTTCACCTCGCATGGTATGTTGATAAAAATATAGTTTATATACTTAATACTGCTAGAATATTTCATAGTCGATTTACATGTAATATTTATAACACACAAAATCTTGACACAAAACAGATATGCTGCTTGGAAACAGCGTGCAATATTGTTATTTACTAAATAGATGCAGCCAGCCAACACACAAATCCGTGCAGTATATTAATGGCATTAAAAAAGTTTTCAGGTGTCCAAAAAAAATACCTGCACTATAGTGGTAAGTCCATACCAAGTTAATATCTCTAACATATAAGTTTTAGGTTTTTATATATCAAGCCATTGATATTTGAGTGATCAAGATTGGTATTTATAACTGACCATTTGTTCCAGGCTTAATTGCATGATACCATTGTAAAATCGTCTGGCGTTAGGCAGAGTAAAATATGAGTAGGGTACATCTGGGCACATATATTGCCACTTATAATTGAAGGGTTAATATAGAAATTTTGTATTTCATAAAGTATTACAATGCTTTTGAAAGGGATAATTTTAAGTGAAACCCACCTGTTGTGGACTTAAAAGTAAAATTGTGAACTGATGATGCAGAATCACTGGTAGCTAGGGATTGTGGGGCACTAAATTTACTGTTTTCGTAGATTTTTGTCCAAGCAGTTAAGTTATAAAGAACAGAATAATAGTGTTGCCACATTCATGTAGTTATAGGCAAATGGTTGATTTGTCAAATATCAATTATGGATTGTTTCATTATAAATACTGGAATGCATGCTCATACTGGATGGTTGTACAATAAGCAAAATTTGTCTTAGGGCCTGTTTATATGGAAGCCGGGCTGGCCCGCTTAGCAAGACAGCCCGGTAAGCGGGATGAATTTCTCTCGTGTTTATATGAGAAAATTTCATCCCGCTTGCCGGGACAATTTTGTTACATTGTATTGTTTTGACAGTTGTTAAAAATAGCTTGCGGCGGTATCTTTTAACTTTCATCCCGGCAACCAGCCTAGCCTGCTTGTGAGTGTTTATATGGAGAAATTTCCATCCCGGTAAGCGAGATCTCGCCTCTTTCAAGCGAGTCCATATAAACGCACAATAATTTTTACTGTAAAAATAACTACACAGCGAGATCTCGTTTACCGGGCTGTCTCGCTTAGCGGGCCAGCCCGGCTTCCATATAAACAGGCCCTTAGTAAATTTAGTAAGCCAGTATCTAGGCTGGCTTGCATTACATATAAAACATCCCCTATAATCCTACAATAGTTGGAAAAAATTAAGAAGTAAAACAAATCTAGAATGAAATATATTTCCCTTCAATATATGCAATTTGTAGTTAGTTGTATATATATAGGCACAAAAATGGCTGAAATAGTTTAAAATTCAATACAATGTCATTGTGTTGACATGAAAATATTCTGTTTTTGTAGCCATAGGTGTTAATTTAAACCATGAGAAGCTCAATCGTATGAACTATGAATGCAGATTTGCAGTGGTGTAGTGGCATAGACGTATGTCTTAAGATATATTGAGCATTAATTGCACGGTTTAAATAACACCTATGGCTACAAAAACAGTTGGTAGAATATTTTCATGTCAACACAATGACATTTTATTGAATTTTAAACTATTTCAGCCATTTTTGTGCCTATATATACAACTATAACTACAAATTGCATA